CATGGTGCATAAATACCTCCAGAGAATGTGCCTAACTGACCACTAGGATTTAACCAAATAGCGAGTTTACAATAATGTCCTCTGGAGGTTTGAAACTCAGTTACAGAAGTATAGTGAAGCAAACAGCTGCTTCAGTTCCTGTTTTCCCACCATTCTGATGTAGATCCCTTAATTTGCCTTTACATGCTCTAAAGCCAGCACTCTTTCTAGATGCATACAGTGAATCCCAGCATCTTGTAGTCCTTGGTGTACATGGCTTTGCGTTTTTCTGTTCCACTGCCAGGTACAGTGTTGCTATCAGACTCTGCATCAAATGCAATTCTTCTCAGTTCAAATATGATGTCTCGCTGCGCCTGAGGGACAGAAGGCAGGAGAACAGTAACATGAGCAATTGCTAGGGTGGCATTTTCACATAATGCATCTGTCCTCAGAGCTTACACAGTGAGCATAAACAGGTACCAAAGGTCAAGTTAATCTCTATATAAGCAGCAATCTATTTCAAAAAGGCAAGTTTTAATACATTGAACTGTCCGAAGTTTAGCTAAAGGCAATTTACAACTATTCAGATATTGCTAAATTATTCCTCGCTTAACATTAAAATGAATCAAACAGCTGAGTAGCAGACACCTTAGAAAGTGTCCAGCTTCCTTGAACACTGGATCAACAAAAGCACAGGATAAAAGGATTTGCCCTCCATAGAAGTGGAGGAATCTGTTTGATAGTTGATATCACATTAGCTAAATGAGACACACTTTCCACTGGCTACACTTACAGCCATAAAAGCTCTACAGCATACAGCAAGATAGCGATAAGAGCATCTGAATCTCAAGGACTGCAGTGCAAGGGGTAATTCTGAAACTCTATAGCACCATCTACTCCAAATTCTGCGGAGTTAAGCAGCTCAGGAAACAGCCCCCTTCTAACTTTGTTTACATCAGATCTTATTCAGCTTTAACAGTAACCTGATCATTGGGGTCCATCTTGGTCATCATTCTCTCTTCCAGGAGATTAAAGGTCAGAACCTGCAGCACGTACAGCTGATGAGCCATTTCTGTTTTAATCGGACGGTTTCCTCTGATCACATGCTGTAAACATAAAGAATGGGAAAGTGAAGGGAATACAAGCAGACCCTAAGAAGTTAG